CTTTGAACCCAGAAAGCTGTATGAAGATAGTAGCTGGTAAGATTTTTAACTACTACGTGAGGAAAGAAGAAACACATCCCAAACCAAATCAGCTTCCCAATGCTTCCCATCGTCACAACCCAGCCCAGGTGTGAACATGGGTGTCTGTGTGCATTTCTGCTCTGCAAGAGGCCCCAGAGCGCAAAGCTCATTCTTCAAATAGGACAAATTGCTTATTAGCTACGGAGAAGGCGTGGGGTCGGGCACTTCCAAGGTGGTTAGTCACAGTCAATCATTTGCAGGTTCGGCAGACACCCAGCCCTGGCGGTTCCACGCGGTGACTTCCCCGGGAACCGCAGGCGCACGGTCAATGCATATGCCCTCGGCCCAGCGCTCAATCAACTGCAGGTCATCAACGGAGCGGGAGGCCCTCCGTACTCCCTCGCCCTACCTCCCTCTCCACCGGGGGACACGCTCGCTCTCTGTCAGCACCGTCGTGCCTGCAGCCTGGGCTTTCCCTGGCGACGGGATTTCCCTTTCTAGCCCTTGGGGCACCCGCGCCGCGGGCTCCTGATCTCACTGAAGCGGTGCCCGAAAAGGCTCAGCCCCTGGCCGCTGGGGGTGGGGCCGCCGAGCCGGGATCAAAGGAGCCTTCCCCGGTCCACCGCCCCGAAGCGCCTGGGGCCTGATCCTGGCCGCCGCCGCCTGGGTGCTGAGCTTGCTTTTGGCCCGCTTCCTCCGGTCCGGTGTCTCTTAAACTTGGAGCGCGCATCCCCCGAAGGGCCTGTTAAAACAGGTCGCTGGGCCCCACCCCCGAGTTTCTGCTTGAGTAGGTTTAGGGTGGGGCCGGGAGAGAGCTGGCCGTTCCTTCTAACAAGTTCCCAGGTGCTGGTGATGCTGTGGTCCTGGAGCCCCACGGAGCGAACCCACGGGCTGTAGCTTAATGCCGCCCGCCCGCCCGCAGATAGAGGCTCGCTGGGCAGCCCACGCCCGCCCAGCTGCTCTCTGCCCCGAGCGCTGAGCGAGTCGGGAATAACGCCGCGCACAGGAGGCCTCAGCGCCTGAGGATCTGGGTGTTATTTGCGGGGGAGGAGGGGGCTCCTGAAGGGTTTGTGCGGGTAGGAAGTTAGGGGGAAAAAACCTTGGAAACCCGTGGATCCTGCGTGTTACTGGGATATTTCATTGACCTAAGGTTAAAAGGTGAACAGAGTCCAGCCCTCCAGGGGCTCAGAGTAACTGGGAGGGGAATGCTTATGCCAATGCCTGTGAGATAACTGTTCCCAGGGAGGGTGGGTGGGTGGGCGGGGCTCCCGGAATCTTGGTGGGGGGGGAGCTGCATGAAGAACTGGCATGTTACTCGGAGACCCGCAGGATGCGTGGGAATGTGGCAGGTAGAAGCGGTAGCTGGGAGGGGGTGAAGCGGGAAGAGGTTTCCCAGACAGGAGGAAAGGGCAAGGAGACTGCCAGGTGGGAGTGGGGGTGGGGATGGGGGTGGGGAAGCAGTAGAGAAGACTTGACAGGCAGGTCTCAGGCCTTGGCCTGGTTTTATTTGGTTGATTTCTGCTTTTCTTTCTGTTTTTCTATTCGGTTTCTCTCCTTCTTCTGTCTCTTTTGCTGGCCCCTCGTCAGATGCTGGTGCTCCCAGGGCTCTGGCCTGGCTGCCCTTTCCTCTCACTCTCCATGTCCACCCCTTCCGAGCTCCTCCACACCCGAGGCCTCACTTACGATCTCCTCACTGATGGGGGAGGTGGGCGGCCCCTGTGTGTGTTCCAGACCGACTGTGCCCCCTCACCTCCACACAGATGTCCCCAGGCATCTATCTGTCCTCCTGTCCTCTGTCTTGGTGAATGGCACCATCGACCCCCTAGTTACCTATGCCAGAGGATTTTGTGAAACGACCCTCTCACAGACAGCTGGTGAAGAGTAAATTGACACAGTAAATTGCTCGGACCACACACCAAGAAAGAATACAGGAGGAAAGATTCCGGGCTCAAGTTCTGAGTCTACAATTTACTAGCCGAGTGACCTTGGGCAAGTTACTTCATCTGTTTCCTTACCTATAAAATGGATTTCGTGATCGTCTGTACTTTACACAGTTGTTCTATAGATTAAACAATCATTGCTGCCATTGTTCGAGCCTTTGGAAGCTTGTGAGCACCTGGTCCAAGGTCACTCTGCTAGCAAGTGGCAGAACCAGGTCTGGAACCCAGAGTTCTCCGGCTCCCGAGCCACCTTCTTCACCTCGTTGTCACACCGTTTCTCTGGAGATCGTATAACAAATAGGGAAATGCTTGTGGTATAATGTTGAGTGAGAGAGGACAGCAAATTGCATAATCAGCGTCAGTACACCATTTTATTAAAAAAGGAAACGAATCTGCACATAGAAAAGGCGACAGGGAAATGCAGCAAATGGTTCCACATTGTATTGGCACAACGTTTGTCTTCCAATTCTCTGTATTTTAAGATAATTTTATTAAAAAGCACATTATTGAAAACATTAAAGTATAACATTTTAAACAATTACAAGTGCACAACCTGTTTTCATGTTTGAAAATTACACTCTGCTGGTTTCTCTTCTCAGTTCTAGACTTACTTCCCTGAACAGAAACTCTCAAAGGCCAGGGTAGGAAGAAAGTATCGCAGCCTCGTTCACCAGCCATCCCACAGCTGACAGCCTTGCACGGGAGCAGGCTGTCAAAATCAAGCCTCCGAGCAAGTAAGTTCCAGACAGAACCCGGGCTTCTCCACCACCCTCTCTGGACAGCGCTTCTGGGGATCAGTTACTTTTTTCTTTCTTTCTTTCTAAATAGCCGGCCCAGTGCTCTTTTTCCAGTTCTGGCGGACTTGTTAGCTACAGCCGGCAGGGCCGCCTGCCAGGTACCTGGCTCCGTGAGCACCGCCCAAACTGGTCAGGCCAGTCCGCCCGAGGTTGTTTCTGCCAGGACTTGCCCTCGAGCGCACGCGCGCGCGTCCCCGTGTGTATGTGGGGTGGTGGTGTGTGAGTGCGTGTGTGCGTGTGTGTGTGTGTGTATGTGTGTGTGTTAGAGACCCGCCCTTCTCCCCAGCAACCCAGGTAGGTGGAAGGCAGCTGCAGGCACCAGCCTGGCAGTCAGGCCAGATGGGTGGAGTTGAATTAATCTAACCTGGAATTTCAACTTGGCCTGAACAACAGGTGAGGGAAAAAGGCAACAGAGAGAGAAGGGGCAGTTTGGCAACTTGGAAATATTCTTGTGCTTTGCACCCCCACCGCAACCCCCCGCCTGAGAAATACCCCAGGGTGACTTTTCAAAGTGTCTGCGCCTGGTTACAAGATCCGGTTGCGCTATGCCCCCCTCCGAGGCTGCCAGGCCCCTCCTGAGCGCTGTCCTCCTCCGTTACCCTCCGCGACGCGCCGGTTCCCCCTCCTCCGAGAGGCAGGGCGGGGGTATCGGATTAGTCTTTGTTTTCGACGCGAAAAGAGCCGAGCGCCGCAAGGGGGAGGCTCGCCACGGCAGGGTCCCGGGATCCGCCTGGGCAGGGCGCTGGGCCGTGACCCCCGCGAAGGTGCCCCCCCAGCCGGCCCGCGTGGCCTCCGTCCCCGAGTACCCTCTCTTTGCGGCCAGGCTGACTCGGTACGCAAACGCGCGATGTCCCCCATTGTCCTGCCTCGAAATGAGCGAGCAGCAGCCGGGAGGGGGGAGGTCAGTCGGGTCGGGAGCTCAGGGCTCTCGGGGGCGCCGGGGCCGTCCCCGACCGCGCGGGCCCGCAGGGAGTGGCAGGAAGTGGGGACCTCGGGCCGGCTCGGAGAGGGCCCAGGCGGGGAGGTCCGCGTGCCCCACCCGGTGCGGCCCGCCTCGCCCTCCCGGGCTGCAGAGGCCCCGGAGGGCGGGAGTGGCCATCCCCAGGGTGGCGGCCGGGCCCAGGGAGGGCCCCCGGCGGTGTTGGGGAGGTTCTGCATGTGCAAAGGCTCGGCGCCCGTGACCAGATTTTGCATCCGTCCGGATCGAGTTTTTCGTACTCGTT